AATTGAATGAGGTATTAAAGTACTGTGCACAGAGTCATGCAGGCATAAACAGAGCGAACACTTCAGAAATAATTGACAATTACTGCACACATCTGTACCTTGTACGCTCACAATTAAAGGATCATCTTAGGGTAAAGACTTCCTTGTGAATGACATAACATTAGCTTTATTACCATTGCAGAACCTTCAACTGTTCAATGTTAGTGTGGATTAACCACGTTGGTGCATAGATTCTTAATTTTTCATTGTACACATCTTTGTGACTTTCAGATTACCCTACAATTAATAAGTCTCATAACTGAAAGACTTCCTTGTGAATGACATAACATTAGCTTTATTACCATTGCAGAACCTTCAACTGTTCAATGTTAGTGTGGATTAACCACGTTGGTGCATAGATTCTTAATTTTTCATTGTACACATCTTTGTGACTTTCAGATTACCCTACAATTAATAAGTCTCATAACTGAAAGAACCATTGAAACGTATGGTAAAAATTACTAGTTATATAACTGTATCATTGTTGAATTGTTTCTATTCCATCATTGGCAAAATTATATTTATTTATTTACTCAGCATAGATGGAGGCATAACCTATTGTTACAAAAAAAAAAAAAAAAAAAAAAAAAAAAAAAAAACTGAAATGTTTCAGATTTTAAATTACGTCCAAAGGGGCTTTTTTTAACGTTTTGAGTGTTACCTTTATTTATTAAATATCATGTTCTTCGCACTTAAACCATAAGATTCAGTTCAACAGCAATATCGCAAAATAGTGTTTAAATTAAGCATATCTTTAGAATTTCCGATATACAGAGACTCGCGAGCTGGAGATAAAAGTATTTTTTTTCTATAACGTTGCCATTGCTCGCTTTGAAAGCCTTGAGTTTGTTAAATCAAAAATTCGTTAAAGTTTTACAAAATATAAAATCGATAATAAAACAAATTCCAAATTTGGGATTTCCACATGCCCATATTCGTTGTAGGATTACGTTATTCAAAATTCGATGACTCTATGTACCGTTGTTTATCACAATCAATGCGAGAAATATACAATACATTTATGCAGATTTTTCATTATTTAATTTCTTCAAATATAATGCAGGACTCTAACATTTTGTGGCAACAGTTTGAAAAGTGAACCGACGTTTATGAGTCCGACGCAAAATCGCAAAACGAAAACAATAGTCCTTCAGGGACAAAGCCCCTTTGGACTAATAATAAAAATTAATTAAATGAGAATACATCAATACAAAATAAGAAATTAAAATCATTTTTTAGATAATCATAAAATTTGGTATTATTTGAATTCATTTATCAAGATAAAAACCTGTTTTAGCGGGATTCGAACTTAATTATACAATACGAAAAAATCTGATGTGGACGCCACATAACCTCCTTGTATTGGACTATTAAATTATACATATTTTTTACTGCCTTTCACTTAAACTTATTTCCTTGAATTTCATTAGAGATAGATTTCTCATTCAATGAATTCAGTTCTCACTTCGCGGAAAGCAAAAATATATAAAAACTCAGAACTTCTTCATTAAAAATAGTAAAATACAGAAAAATCTAAAACACCAAATACAGTTTAAAAAAAATTACAATTAAAATTAGAGTTTCTACACAAAAACCAGCAATTCGGCCAGGGGGCAGGAAAACAGATTCTTCAGTGCACAAAATTGAAAGTTTATTTTTGATCCTATTCGGCAAAGACACACTGAAGTTAGTGCACAGATTGACTTAACTTACTTTACTACTAAGAGTTTAAAATGTAAACAAACGGCGGCCTCGTTAGTACCACTTAAAAAACTTTTAAATTATTGATAATTCTACAACTATTAGATGCAGATTAACTAAAGATATAAAAGCCTTAACTGGAAAGTAAGAAAACATAATTCAATCACTTTTGAAGCAAAAAATGCACATTTTACCAACATATAACAAAATATAAAAAATATATATATATAAGCTCACCGAGGCAGGTAACAGAGTGGGAATAAATATATATCAACAAACGACTGGTATAGCCGATTGCAACGAAAAAGGGAGGTACACAACTACGTGTTATAGCAGTCCCATATACAAAATTTCAACATTCTATGGCTACTTGTTCTTGAGTTATGCGAGATACATGCATATGTACGTACCGACGTCAAGGAAATATTCTCTTCTATGATTTTACAATCTTTTTTTTTGGCATAAATAATCCTTTATTCTGTCCTTACGTACAGATGTCACGCAAAAAACATCGTTTAAATGGTTTCGAGAGCGGTTGCAATGAATATTTTCGTTGAAATACAATACTCGAAATTTTTTGCGATTACAGGACTTCTTTTGCTTCGTACAAGTAAGTAAAATGAGCTAAAAATAAAAATTGTTTTTAAATAAGAACAAAATTAGTTAATTTAAAATGTGGAAATGTTTTGATATTTAGTAACTTGGGAAAACGAATTGGTATATTCCACAAGCCACCACGAAAAAGGCAAATGCAGAATCCAAAACCAGAGTAAAGGCCCAAACTCTGCAAACGTGGAATCGTTAAAAGTCCGAAATAAAACATTTTTTAATGTAGTTTGAGAAGAAATAGTCAAAAACTAAAACAAACACAGGGAAACAAAATCTCTGCGAAATGGAACACGAGTGAAAAACAAAGTAAATGGCCAAATGAAAAACCAAATAAAAACCAAAAAAAAAAAAAAAAAATCTGAAATGTTTCAGATTTTAAATTACGTCCAAAGGGGCTTTTTTTAACGTTTTGAGTGTTACCTTTATTTATTAAATATCATGTTCTTTGCACTTAAACCATAAAATTCAGTTCAAGAGCAATATCGCAAAATAATGTTAAATTAAGCATATCTTTAGAATTTCCGATATACATAGTCTCGCGAGCTGGAGATAAAAGTATTTTTTTCTATATAACGTTGCCATTTCTCGCTTTTAAAGCATTGAGTTTGTAAATCAAAAATTCGTTAAAGTTTTACAAAATATAAAATCTATAATAAAACAAATTCCAAATTTGGGATTTCAGATGCCCATATTCGCAGTAGGATTTCGTCATTCAAAATTCGATGGCTCTATGTACCATTGTTTTATCACAATGCGAGAAATAGACAATCATTTATGCAGATTTTTAGTCCAAAGGGGCTTTGTCCCTGAAGGACTATTGTTTTCGTTTTGCGATTTTGCGTCGGACTCATAAACGTCGGTTCACTTTTCAAACTGTTGCCACAAAATGTTAGAGTCCTGCATTATATTTGAAGAAATTAAATAATGAAAAATCTGCATAAATGATTTGTCTATTTTCGCATGTGATAAAAATGGTACATAGAGCCATCGAATTTTGATGACGAAATCTACTGCGAATATGGGCATCTGAAATCCCAAATTTGGAATTTGTTCTGAAATCCCAATTTGGAATTTGTCAAAACGTTAAAAAAACGCCCCTTTGAACGTAATTTAAAATCTGAAACATTTCAGATTTTTTTTTTTTCATTATTTAATTTCTTCAAATATAATGCAGGACTCTTTACATTTTGTGGCAACAGTTTGAAAAGTGAACCGACGTTTATGAGTCCGATGCAAAATCGCAAAACGAAAACAATAGTCCTTCAGGGACCCTAACCTTAGCATTTTTCATTTATAGTATTATCTTTGGGTACCTGCATCAATAATGAATAACAGTGTATGGTTTGATTAACATTGTATATTATTTCTTAATTTTGCAATAACATGGCTAACTAGTACAGTGTGAATTGTAATCAAGATATAGAGCTACTGTATTTACAGTAATTGTACAGTATATCTGTATAAGTAGTAGTATGAGGTTATGCGACTTTAATGCTTATATATTTTGTAAATTTTGTACATATATATAATAGAATCACAATGTATTGTACCCAATGTAAAATGCAATTCTAGCCGAGTTTGTACTTTTGTAGCTTATAGTACTAGAGTGTAAGTTTCGTAGGCATTGTATTGTACTCGAAATTGTGCGATAGAAAAATGATCTAATATTATCGTATTATATTTTAACCAGGTTTACATGTCTTGCATTTATATTAGGATATTCTATGTCTTGCATTAATATATTCTTCTATGTCTTGATTTATATATGATATGTTACAAACTATAGTACTCAATGTAATAAAATGTAGTGTGGTCTAGTGTAAAACATTGAAGTAGTATTGTAGTTGTAAAGGAATTATAGCAACACTGCCCATGTTAAAGTAGTGTAGTATAGTTAGCAGCGTAGTAGTTAAAATAGAACTTGAGTTAAAAACCAGGCAGTTATAGATACTAAAAACCTATGTAAAATATTGAGTGATTATGAAACCTAAGATTTTGAAATAATAAATGCTGTCGGATCAGCGAGTCATGATTAGACAGCATCTGCCAAGTGGAAACAAATACCGTAAGGCTTACTATAGTTAAGGGCGGCAGTCCACTTGAGCAGCGTTCAGCAGTCCTATATACAAAATTTCAACATTCTGAGGATACTTACGTACCTACAGACGCCATGAAAAAATCTCTTCAGAATTAATTTTAAATCAGTTTTATATTTTTTTTTGGCAGGGAAGAGTCCTTTATTCTGTCTATACGTACAGATGTCACTCAAAAACATTGTTAAATTTCATTCGATAACTGTCAAAATGGATGTTTTCGTTGAAATGTGATACCCGAAAGTTTTCGCGATGACAACACTTCCTTTATACTTCGTACAAAGAAGCAAAAAATGGCAGACATTTTGTGATCTATTTTCTCGTTTCTCAAGCGAGGACATTATTGATTTTTCATGTTTCTTCGAATGACTACTTAAATCGCTTTCCAGTTGGTTTATTTGTTATATCCAAATTCTTGGATAGTTTAGGGGTAAATATTTGCCAAAAATTCTGAAATCTGTGTATAAATTGTATGCTTTGTAAAATAGAAAATACTGTTTAATTGTGAGCTGTTGAATTATACAAAATAATATTAAAATGTTGTTGATTTATTTTTAGGATGGATGAATTCAATTTCAGAGTAATTATCGTTCCACAGAAGTTTCAAAACGTGGAACCTGATTCGTACTTGCAAGAAACAAAGAGAAAACTTAAAGCATGTGGCTTAATCGTTAATAACATACATTTTGTAAATTTAGAAGGGTCTGAAGATGAAGGCTATCCTGAAATCGAGGAATTAACGATTCAAGTACAAGCTATGTTTCGTGATAATTTTAAATTTCAAAAAGTTGCCTTATATAAAAAAATCTGTGAAAAGTGGAAGAATCAGCATCTTTTTAGCTATTGTCCAATACTCGTTTTACATGAAAACGATAGCTTTTTAAACAAAAGAATATCATTTCATAGCTCTGTACAGTGTAGTGATATTTCATTTGGTGTATTACCTCACAACGGCACATATTTACAGTATGCATCTCTTCAAGTATGCAAGTCTTCTTTACCGCTAATCGATTTCTATCATGATACACGAAATCTAAAAATAAGGTATAGGAATTACGAAATTTCTATGACTTACAATAATATCAGGAAAATATTTATTAATATAGGTTCAAGTCCCTGCGAAATATTTTTCGATTTATGCAATCCGCCTGTAATATTTCGGGTTGAGATAAAAATTAATAGATACGAAAAGTACTCATTAAATTACCGCACGTGTGATATATATGATACTATAGATGATACATATGAGATCTTAAGACATTTTAATTCCACTAAAAATAAAATGGATACTGATATTTTAGGCCGGTCAAACGTGTTAAAACTTTCAATAAACGACATTGGCCTTGCTGAAGAAATAGTGAGTAAAATGCATTTCCGCTGCAGTGAGAAACCCATACATTACATGAACGTCAGGTCGGTAAAGAAGAAGAAACCCATAGATCCTGTATTTGAATTTTGCCACTTCGGGTGCACATATATATTGACAGCAATAATTAAAAGAAACTTTACGTTGGTGGAACAGACATCACAGGTCAATTCCGAGATGCAGCATTTAAGTACGCTGTGCAACGAAGATGGAGATTGCTTGGAGAAAGCTCTGATAAATGTTTTAAGAGCTATTGATTCTGGAAAAATAATTAATTTCTGGCGCGAAATTGAAATACAATATAAACATTATTTGAATAGCAAAGATGAAATAAACTACAAGCATTACATTGTGCCTTTAAAATGTAGAATGATTCGGCGAATCACACTGACGCCTACAAGGACACTTCTTTGGCCTGCAGAAATAATGTATGAAAATCGAGTACTTCGTAACTTCGATCCAGAGTATGCGGTACGAGTTTCTTTCCGAGATGATAATATGATGAGACTGAGCTTCTGTGCTGCCTATGCCGATGAATCAATATTTCAGGATTCAGTAACAAAACCCATGCTTAAAGGTATTCGTATTGGCAGTAGATTGTACAAATTTCTCGCGTGGTCAAATTCTCAGATTCACGACCATGGAGTGTGGATGTATGCTAAAGATAAAAAAGGAACGACTGTTTATGAGATACGAGCTTGGATGGGAGACTTTTCACACATACATTCGGTTTCAAAATACATGGCAAGAATGGGGCAGTGTTTTTCCCAAACCGAAGACACGATTGCAGTTCCGCTAGATCCGAGGCATGTGCGAACGGAAAATGATATTGAAGGTGGATGTACAGTGAATGGGAAACCATATTGCTTTTCGGATGGAATTGGAAAGATTTCAATTAGTCTAGCAGAAAAAGTAAGTATTCTTTAAAAATTAAACTTATTAATTTAAAAACATCGTTTATTTTTGATTGTAAATGCTTTGAAATATTTTCATCATAGTGCAGTGAAACATTTTTCGGCAACAACCTCTCAAATGATCCTCGCTGATAATGATTAGTATTTCTTTGAACTTAAAACACATTGATATTTAATATATCTTTTTAAGACGAGCGCGTCTGCAGGAGACCAGACTCAACTGAATCTATGAGTGATCTCTTTAGATAGAGATATTTTCATATAGTTGAAAATATAGATCTGAGAGAGGGTATTTTTATATTATAATTAAAGGAGCCCGAGGACTGTTTTCTTAAGAGCCTTTATTTAACCCTTAAATGTTTTGGCTTAATTTCCTCGCTGGATCTAATCACACAGATTTAAGTCAGAAACTTACCAGTCAGAAGTAATTTGCATAACTCATTTATAACTGCAGAATCGGTTAATCAAAGAAGACTAATCAGACCTGTGAAAGTTGTCGTACTTCGTTAAAATTTGGTACATATGTTTTACGAACATGGGAAAAAGAAACCTATTATAAAAAATAGTAGTTCGAATATATTAGCAGTTAAGTTGGCGTATAAAGAACAAGAAATACAAATTGTAACCATAAATAGTTATTATTCACATCATTTGTTTAATCTGCATTCCATTCACGTCAGTCTTTTGTTCAGAATGCGTTATAAGTATGTGAAAAGTAACGCGAAGGACTTCTTGAGGAATTACAATAATATAGTGTTTTATGCTTGCTTTTATTTCAGGCAGCGTATGCCTATTCCACAGGCACGATCTTTCAGGAATCCCGCAAACAGAAGTCACTGGGATGCAAGTCCGAAGAATAAGGAGGTTATGAAAATACACGATTATCTTAAAGTTAAGCACAAAACAGCTGTTTCCCTTGTCGCGTAGTATGGGATGTTTCACATCTTGCATAAGGACGGTAATCTCTAAACTTTCTCATTCTTGTAAGATAGGAATATCTTGTTGTTGCAGAAGTTCGCAGTGGTGACGGCATACCTTTTACGACTCTTGAGGAGATTTTCTAAAAATGGAGGGGGGGCAGAATCACGTCCAGTAAAACCAAACAGTGACGTAGTCAGAAGGCAGATACTGTTCATGCACAAAATTGCGATTTTCAGTGCCTTATATGCGACATTTCTGAGTATTCGCTGCTCCGTCAAGGACAAATGTTCGTTATCTGATCATGAAATATTCTACGGTTGGCAAAACTGGCAACCATTGTGTTCTTGACAAAACTTAGCCCTTCCCCCTAAAAAAAAAAAAAAAAAAAAAAAAAAAAAAAAAAAAAAAAAAAACTAATGCGTTGATGTGGGTTTTGAGTGTGAAGCTGTTGTACTACCGTGGATCTTATATTGGTATCACTTTCAAAGGCAAAACAGAACCTTTCATATTGTAAACTTAACGAAATGGCAAATCACAGGAAGCCATTTGGTAAAAAGTGTTAGAAACCGGATTCATTGTCAGCCACTGCAGTATCGACGTCTTCTCCTGTGTGCGATGTGGTGAGCGTTGTTTAGCGTAGTAAGAAATGAGATGCGTTATTAACAATATAATTTAATCATTTATTCTTAGCGAGAACAGAGACAGCGTTAAGGGGCACAGTACCTTTGCGTTAACCGAACTAACGTTAAACACGACTAAACGCTAACTTCTGATACACAAATAATATCATAATAATTTCTATTTTTTGCTTATAGATGTAAAACACACACCTTTTTCAACATTGTGTTCAAAAATAAAAACTTTCACTTCAATAATAATTTTCAAATTGTTGAAATTAAAATACTCATGATTAACAGATAAATAAAAATCAATAAAGTACGTACGGCGCGCATCATAAAATTTAAAAAAAGTATGCAGAAAACAATTTTTGGTCAAAATTCTTTTAGAATATATCTAACTTTAATTTAAAACCAGAATATATTAAAAAACTACTTAAATTTATAAAATGGTAAAACAATTTAAAAAATTAAAAAATTATGAAAAATATTTCGATACTTTTAATCAAAAATTTAAAATTTTTTATCAAAATATGATATTTTTTGGTTTTAACATGTAGATAATATAAAGATACACATATGATTCAATTTTCATGTATTTATCATATATAGTTTGAAAGCAATTATGCGCGCAATCTTAAAATTTAACATTTTGAGAAAACTCAATTCAAAGTTTTAATATTAATTTTTCCTTATTTATATTTTAGTAACATTAATCAAAATGCTCCAGGTGCATAAACAACTCCTTCTTTTAGCTTATTCATTTCATCTTGTTTCTTTTTCTCCCTTCGCTTAGCTATACGAGCCTCTAAACTGTTAATCAGCGCTCGTTGCTTAGCAAATTTTAAGCGAAGTTCATCTGCCTTTTTAGCAAATGTTTTGCTTTCAGCACCAGATGTCAATTGTAATTCACTCATCAAAGATAAAATTGCACATTTTCCATCATTGAAGCTTGCTACAGCTAAATTTACTGCAATTTCCACAATGTTTTTTGCAGAATTTGTTGTTTGGGGGCAAAATGTCCAAATCAATGAATTTAACGATTCATTCGCATTTTGCGTTCGCCCGCCAATACACCTTTTTAACAAGTCTGGATGAGACAAATCTTTAAAAATAGGCTTTATGGCATCCATAACAGCCACAGGTACAGATTTTTTATGTTTAAAATTTTTCAGTGCACCAGTAAAAAAAAAGCTTTTTTGTATTGACACCAAGAATCTGCTCCATCTGGACAAAAATCGTGAATTGCTTCGTTCGAGCGTTTATGATACCATATAGCCCATATTGCTTTCTGCATATCACGATAGTTGTTACAGTGTTTTCGTATGGCATTACCATAATACGTAGTAAGTTGGTCGATCAAGACATCGGTAAGACGACCTTTACCACAAAGAGGTTTTCCGTCACTTAGCTTTTTTTCCACGAAATTCACTTTTTAATTTTCTTAAACGTGTACCCATTCTTTTTTGAACATGACCAACACATTCTATTTTAGAAATGGGATCACTATATGTGTTATTATTCGAAAGTGCTAAATAAGTTTTACAGTCACCATCACCAATATAGTTCACATAACGAACACCATATTTTTCTTCTGATCGAGAAAACATTTCAACCATCCCGTTCACTTCCATCTTGGCAGATGATCCCGAATGATTTTTTGCACACACTTTCGCGTGAAGACGTTTCCATTCTAAATAGTTTTCTGTTGAACGAAAATCTTTCGCAGTTTTACAACCTTTACAGTGCGCACTAGAAGTATATCTGTCTATAACTTTGCCTGTCTCACTGCCAATTATAGACGTCACACCGAAACGTGACGAATGGCCCCTAGTTTTCCAGGTGCCATCGCCACTAACTGTCAAATCCATGGAACCAGTCAACTGGACCTCTTCATCAGCTGCATTTTTCATACTTTTTTCTGCAACAGTATATGTAGCTGCATGTATATGACTTACAATCTTGTCATAAGATTTTTGTGCGACAGGCGATGGTAAGTCCATAAGTCCACAAAAGGTTTTACACTCTGCTAGTCCTTTGCCAATGCACCTCATGGCCAGAATAAATCGTCTATTTAAGTCAGAAGCATTCTGTTTTTTTCCAACCATCTTAGAGTTTTTGAAAGAGGAGGAAATTATTCCACAAGAACTGCATGTAACATTGATTTTTATCGTCAGCCCATAATTTATTTCTGAATTTATATGTATTTTATTATGGCATATCGAACAACATAAACATTGTTCTAATGCTTCAAACATAACATTGTTCTAATGCTGAAAATAACAGTTTTTTTATCGATAATAGCATAACCATCAAAATTATCATTCATGTTATCCACAAGTTCAGCTGATGTAGATGAATCGTTACCGATCTTTCTTGCTGATGCAGAAATGTTTAGGTCTATGTCAAAACACTCCCGCTTTGTATGTTCATTTCCATAATACTGATGCCTCTTCGGTCTTTTTGGTCTTTGACCAGATGCCCATTTAGCATTAACAACATTCGTTTTGCTTCTAAGAAAGCAGTTTGAATTGCCGTTTTTGTGAAAACGGCAATTCAAACTTTCAAAATTGAAAGAAAACTATAATACGTAATTCTAACACAAGGTAAACAAACAGCTAACGGAAACGAAGATATAAAGATGAGTAAGTTACCTTCCTGTTTCTCAAAAGAGGAGGGAAAATAAAAAAATTGTGAGGCAGCAATCATAAAGAAAACATTCGAAAGGAAAGAAATATCGCAGCTGCAGAAATGGAACCTAAACAGTCACGTCACATCACATGGGCGTGTCCGCCCCTTTAAATGGCAATGGCTGCCTTTTATCAGATTGTCTCTTGCATAAGGGTTTGCGTAAATGGTCATAACTAGAGAAATAATAGGAATTTTTCAATGCGGGTTTTTGCATAGTGCTCAGAAATGTTAATAGAATCAGAATAAATAAAAAAACAAAAATTGATTTTTTGAATGCTTAAAGGTGCTGTGCCCCCTTAATTCATCGAATACATGTTACGTTAGCGTTCTACTGCGTAGAAGAATAATATATCTCAGTTGCCAAGTTTCAGAGACTAAACTTTACATTATTTTCTCGTTGCCAGATGTAACAGATTAACATAATAAATGCACAATAACAAAAATGTGACGGGAAAGTGCTCCGTTAGCCAAACGATAAAGTTACAAGTACAAAACACTCTGGTTCATGTGAAATCTGTTTCTGAACTCTTCTATTTCTTCTTAATTTAAAAGTTATCTTAGGTTAGGCATGCCAAACTTGTGCCCCGATGTCTTGTGCGACCACTAACCCATTTTTCTGAGGTTCTGGATTCACCCCCAGAAAATAATGAAAGTATAAACTACGTTAATAAAAATTAGAATTCCACTCCAAAGTGAGGCATGTATGCAACCTCATATACTCATACAGACTTGCTAAATGGTCTCTTTTATAAATAAAATTTTCTCAAAC